CCATGGGTGTTCTGCAAAGCGGTCCCCAAGCCTCCGCTTGGTTTCCCCGATGAAGAGGAGGCCACAACGGGAACAGCGGATGCAGTATACCACATTAGCAGATGTGCAGGGGAACATCTGCTTGATGCGGAAAGTCTTCTTGGGGCCTGGGATGGGGGTGAGAGGGGAGGTGTAGCACTTCCTGCTGTTGCAAGGAAAACTGCCTGGTGTGGTGGGGCTGGAGGGGAGTGTGGAGCGGACAAGGGAGTCACGGAGAGAGTGGTCCCTCCGGAAAGCAGATAAGGGTAGGGAGGGAAAGATGTCTTTGGTGGCGGGGTCGGATTGCAGATGGCGGAAGTGTCGGAGGATGATGCGTCGGATCCGGAGGTTGGTGGGGTGGTACGTGAGGACGAGGGGGATTCTGTTTTGGTTGTTATTACGGGGAGGGGGCGTGAGGGATGAGTTGCGGGAAATGCGGGAGACACGGTCGAGGGCATTCTCAACCAGAGTGGGGGGGGAAGTTGTGGTCCTTGAAAAACGAGGACATATGAGATGTACGGGAGTGGAATGCCTCATCCTGGGAGCAGATGCGGCGGAAGTGAAGGAATTGGGAATAGGGGATGGCGTTGCAGGAAGGTGGGTGGGAGGAGGTGGGCTTGAAATGGATATCGGTTTCTAGGTGGTTGCCAGAAATGGAAACAGAGAGGTCCAGGAAGGAGAGAGAGGTATCAGAAATGGTCCAGGTGAACTTAAGGTTGGGGTGGAAGGTGTTGGTGAAGTGGATGAACTGTTTGAGCTCCTCGTGGGAGCATGAGGCGGCACCGATACAGTCATCGATGTAACAGAGGAAGAGGTGGGGTTTAGGGCCAGTGTAGCTACGGAATAGGGATTGTTCCACGTAACCTATAAAGATGCAGGCATAGCTTGGGCCCATGCGGGTACCCATAGCCACCCCCTTTGTCTATAGGAAGTGGGAGGAAATGAAAGAGAAGTTGTTGAGGGTGAAGACAAGTTCGGCTAAGCAGATGAGGGTGTCAGTGGAGAGGGACTGGTCGGGCCTGCGGGACAGGAAGAAGCGGAGGGCCTCTAGGCCATCTGTATGGGGAATGCAGGTGTATAGGGACTGGACGTCCATGGTAAAGATGGAGGTGTTGGGGACTGGGGAATTGGAAGTTCTGGAGGAGGTGGAGGGCGTGGGTGGTGACACGGACGTAGATAGGGAGTTCCTGGACCAAGGGGGAGAAAATGGAGTCCAGATAGGTGGAGAGAAGTTCAGTGGGGCAGGAGCAGGTGGAGACAATGGGTCGACCAGGGCAGTCAGGTTTGTGGATTTTGCGAAGGAGATAGAAGCGGGCGGTGTGGGGTTGGGGAACGATGAGGTTGGAGGCTGTGGGTGGGAGGTCAATCTCCACCTCTTCCTCCGTTACATTGATGACTGTATCGGCGCCGCCTCGTGCTCCCACAAGGAGCTCGAACAGTTCATCCACTTCACTAACACCTTCCACCCCAACCTTAAGTTCACCTGAACCATCTCGGATACCTCGCTCTCCTTCCTAGACCTCTGTCTCCATCTCTGGCAACCACCTAGAAACCGATATCCATTTCAAGCCCACCGACTCCCACAGCTACCTAGAATACACCTCCTCCCACCCACCTTTCTGCAAAAAAATGCCATCCCCTATTCCCAATTCCTTCACTTCCGCCGCATCTGCTCCCAGAATGAGGCATTCCACTCACGTACATCTCAGATGTCCTCGTTTTTCAAGGACCGCAACTTCCCCCCCCTCAGTGGTCGAGAATGCCCTCAACTGTGTCTCCTGCATTTCCCGCAACTCATCCCTCAAAAAAAAAGAGCCAGAGTGACAGAATATTGCAAAATGAAACTGAGGATATTAAAGGTTGAAAATGGGGTCTCACTTGAGTTCTTCAAAATGTTCTCTCCAGGTAGCATCACATTCCTTACTGTCCTTAATAAACTCCCCTGTTTGTTTAGTTATGCTATCAAGTGCAATTAGATTGAATATGTATGGAGTATGGCCAATTTACACCTATCTTTAGTATTAAGCATGAAAATTGCAAATGAATTGAAGCTGCCTAAGTTAATGGTAATGGACGGCCCACCAGATTATGGAGTTTCGTAACCTTAGTTTGGCGAGATTAATGAATTTTGAAAATTGTTTATCATCTAAACCCAGTCTTTCAAGATGTAAGTGCATGCTCCACTTTTTCCTCATTTTACCCAGTGAGAGAAAAAGGGGAACTAACAGTCCAGGTGGGGGGATGTGTTTGGAAGGGGAAAATGGGTCATGCGCTACGGAGAGAGAATGGAACCAAAATGATAGAAGACTTTTAAAACAGAAATAATTATTACCAATTAACTTGTGTTCATGAGAATTTGTGGTCAAAAGATTACAAGAAGTCAGAATTTGATTTAATTAGAGTCTAATCACTGCTAGCCACTTCCTGCCAATTAGAGTACCCGCATACTATCTTAATTTCTGTTCAACTGATTTCCAATAAATAATTCCCCTTTAATTCTAACAGTTCATGGAAGTCCACATAAGTAACATCCACAAAGATCATCCTGCCATGATTTTAATCACTTCCTTAAAAAAAACTGTCAGGTTCACTGAACATGACCTACCCTTTTTCAAATCCAAACTGGCTCTCTCCAGCTGAGAACTCAAGATGTTTAGATGCTCTCCACTTAGAGATGCCAGTAATTTCCAACTAGACGTTAGGCTAACTTATCTACTAATGCTCTAGCTTCTCACTCATCTTCGAGAGTTACTTGCAAATTTCCTACCTAAAGCACCAGTTTCCAAAGGAATGAGAACGTTTTGAAAGATTATAGTTAGGAACCCCTGCTTTTTTAAAAAAAAGACTCCTTCCATTTGTCAGCAACAGACAAAGCAGCTGAAGCATCCGCTGATAGGGTTGCATGTTTTTTGCTGCAAGTCCGAAGATCCTGTTCATCACACCTCCGAAAATACACCAGTGAGATTCAGACAAGCAGAGCTTCGGCCATCCTGTGGCCTCTGCCACTGACATTCAATGCTGAGCCTGTCTCCAAGAAACCAGCTGAAAATCCAATGATCTACCTTATTGGTCAGACTAAAGTATGGGTATCTGAGCTGATGCATGGTCAGCATGAATGTTATGAAAGCATACAACTGGAGAAAATGACCTCCTGTGTGTGGACATCATTCTGGACACTTTCTACAAGGCACTTTCAGGGCTGGTAGAAAATAAGACGTGAATTAGAACAGTCAAGATCAAAATGACCATTGTGCACATGATCATATTTCATTTGTTGTTAACATCATCAATATAAGTAAACGCTGCACATGATTAGGCTGTCTGATACTCATGTGTTACCAGATAACTGAAGCCCAGACCTCATTAACAAAGGACGCCAAAATTGTACTGATGCCCAGTGCCTTCCTCCTCTGCAGCTGTCAATTAACAGATGACTGAAGAATCTCCTCCACTTCTGTGCTTCTTGTTTTCTATGCTGTCAATGAGGGAAGGACATCTTGGAGAATAATAGCATGTGTTTAATAGTTAACTAGACTAGTTGTTGATGGTCACGATAAGGGAAAAGCAAGACATTGTACAAACAGGCTAACGACAATTAGTGGTGGACAGACGTACCAGTGTGAGAGGAAGGCAGAGATAGAGAGGAATAGGTAGACAAAGTGTGGGGGAAAAAAAAGAGTGAAGGAGTTGGGGTAAAATGTATTTTAGTATGTAGGTGAATGCAACACTGTACACATCATTGCCCATGTGGTCAACTAAAGCAGGGGAACAATCTCCAATAATGCTTTTTTCTTAAAAAAGCAGTAGGCTACTTTCTCCCATCTGTAAAGAAAACCACTTCCTTCCAAGATTTTACAACTTCTAGCATCATACACAGAGATGCATTACTAAAATGAACCCCAGCCTTTGAACATCTGGATTCTGCTCAACATTCCTCCCAATTCTAAAGTTTATCAAATTGTATTTTAGGAGAGTCCTTTTAAATACTGGAGTTGACACTGACTCATGGAGATTATCATCATGCAACACCAAATGATCAGGAAACTAGAAGTGGTAATTTAATGGTCACGTCGAAAAACCATTGATAATTGCATAGCACTTACCCTTGGATTTCCTGGAGGCTAGCTAAGAAATAAACTCCCCACTTCCTCCAGCACATACACCAATTACACCAGGATCTCAAGAGATTTTTTTTTTGTTCATTCACGGGATGAGGCCCATCCTTAATTGCCCAGAGGGCAGTTAAGAGTCAACCACATTGCTGTGGGTCTGGAGTCACATACAGGCCAGACCAGGGAAGGATGGCAGTTTCCTTCCCTACAGGACATTAGGGACCCACATGGGTTTTTCCAGCAATTGACAAATGATTCATGGTCATCATTAGACTCTTTATTCCAGATATTTATTGAGTTTGAATTCCACCATCTGCCATGGCAGGATTTAAACCCGCGTCCCCAGAACATTATCTGCGTCTCTGGATTAACAGTCTAGTGATAACACCACTAGGCTGTCATCTCCCCTCAGGGTATGATGCTTGAAGTTGTAAGCCCAACACTTTCTGTAGCTGCAGGGACAGTATTCCTGCTTTACTTATCCCATGTGGTGACCACCTTCAGGGACTTTTTCTGGTGCTGTTCACATCTGCCAACAGCTTTCAAAGGCAGATCCAGCATTGTGTATAACTTAAGTACTAATCATGTCTTACTGCCCAACTTTCAAAAGCAAAACCATATGGTTAAAACAGCAAGTGGAGCAACTAGATAAGCACCATATTAACAAACTAACTTTCTGGTTCCACTTGACGGACTGAGTTAAATCAATCTGCAAATCACCTGAAACTAAAGGAGAAAAATGTAATCATGACAATCAAAGCTCATCAGCTCAGTTTTGGTTGTAGAACATAATTCCTAGTAGTATTTTTACATTGTTTCTATAGCCTCACTGCTTACAAATTAGCAATTGATGAATACGCAATACTTTACCTTAACAGCAGTATGGGTTTTCATGCCACAACGGTATGTTTTTGCAGATGCTGTAGTCATCTGGACATCCCTTGTTAGCTGACGCCATTTTGCACAATCTGGCTTTGTACACTGTACCTGTTGCAAATAAATTAAATAGTCAATTACATCAACTGACACACCAATTCAAACATGCTATTGATTAAAAATGAATACCAGCTTATGTAACAGAGTATCATAACCAAACTAATAGGCAAAACATGGCAAATGTTTGACTGCAAGGAGGCAGAAGAAAGAAAGGGAAACATGCCTTTGTTAAAACTGTGTTTTTATCTGCTAAAAATAAATCACATTAGGGCTGAAGCTACATGGAAAACCTTGCCTTTCATTCATACTTCCGGACTTCCCTGACCTCCCGATGAAATTTTCACAATCTCAATGGAATCGAGCACTTGAAGCAAGGGAAGATAAACTTCATGGGCAGTGTGGTTTCATCCTGTCCTATACTAGCCTTTGGATAGATGAAAAATACAGACTTCTCTTTCGCAATCAATTATTTTGCAAAACTACTGCTTCAGAAATTGTATGTAGCATGAGAAACCTTCCCTTCGTGCATTCATTATAACTTTATTACAGCGTAATGAAATCTCTACTTCTACAAAATTTTTTTACACACAATTTTCTACAATTACCGCAAACTGAATCTGAATGTTAATTTGGATTACAAACTCACCCAGTAAGGAACTAGTTGGTCAGCCATAAATGCTTTCAGACTCGGTTCACTTTTGCCATTACTCGTCCAAATTCTTTTCCAAGTCGCATACTTCTCATATCCATCTTTGTGGCTATAAGGTTAAAGGAATCAAATATAAAAAAAAAAATCAGTGTGGACTACTAATATAGTAAGAGATAAAATTTAAGTTATTAAATTTACATACAAGGTACATTTCTGCTGCAAACAGGTGTATATTAATGTTAAAAGGAATGGATGAATTATTTTCTAGTTCTGCCTTCATTTCCTTGTCATGCTCATTAAAACTATTATGCTCAACATTTACACAGTTAATACATATTTTTATCCTTTCATGGGACATGGACACTGCCAGCAAGGTAGAATATGTTGCTCACCACCTTTTGATCTCAAAGTGGTTACCACCTGCCTTCTTGATCTGCTTGAATCTACCTGGTGCAGCCACATTCACACTGCTATCATGAAGAGTATGTCAAGATTTTTAACCTTATGCCTGTGAAAGAATGGTAATGTGGTTCCAAGTCAGCAAAGTATGCAGCTTCCAAGATAACTTGCAGGTGGTCCCCTTATCCATTTCAGTGGTCAAGGATTTGAAACATATTGTCAAAGGAGATTTAGCAAGCTGATGAAGTGCACTTTACATCTAGCCTACACTGCTGCCAATGTGCACCAGTGGTGAAGGGAATGAATGTTTATGGCACTAATTTTGTTCTGTCAGTATGCTAATAAAATCTATAGTAACTGTCAAACTTAAAACTATACTGAAAATCAAATTCCCCACTGGAATGTTGTGCATACTCATGACAACTAGATGGATGGAACGAAGTTGTGTTTCAATAATCTGTGGAATAGATAGAAGAGGCAATGGCCTAGTGGCATTATTGCTGGACTGTTAATCCAGAGACCCAGATAACGTTCTGGGGGACCCAGTTTCGAATCCCGCCATGGCAGATGGTGGAATCCGAATTCAATAAATAGCTGGAATATCATGAATCCATTGCTGATTGTCAGAAAAACCCATGCGGTTGACTATTGCCCTCTAGGGAAGGAAACTGTCATCTTTACTTGGTCTGGACTACATGCAACTCCAGATCTACAGCAATGTGATTGACTCTGAACTGCCTCTGGGCAATTAGGTATGGGCAATAAATGCTGGCTAGCCAGATAACCTCATCCTGTTAATGAATAAAGAGGAAAAAAAGATGAAGTGGTAGAGTACTCAATGAAACCAGATTATTAATTTGGGACATGCTCAGTCCCAAATAACCACTGGGATCTGTGGAACTTTGGGTTTAAACTCTGTCCCAATAAACACCAAATTGTCGTAAGTGATTCATCCTGACTCTGTTTAGTCCAATCTCTCCAGGCTGTAGAAGTCCCATCTCCTCAGCAAGTGGTCCTAATGTCACCAGAATCTAAAGCCCTCCTTCTAACATAATGCCTCCAGCAACACATTCACCTGCTCTATCCTTCTATTTCTATAATCAATTCTATGTGACACCCAAAATAATCTGGGAAATTGCTAGTCTCTGTGCTAGCTGGTCCACACTCTCTCTCTATTCATTTCACTGGTACTGATATGTGCCATGAACCCTGGACCCTCCCCTTCTGCCTTCAAAATTATCCAAAAGTGGGTAGGTATAGTTAGTTTTTGGAGTTTCCATCATAAATTTGGATATTTGAATTTTATTATGGAAAGAAATTTATACAAAATGAGAAAAGCATTACAGATTTTCAAAAAAATTGGGTAGATTAGGTCAAATATAATTTAAACTTGCAGTTACATTGTTATTGGAAGTAAGTCATATTGAAATAAAGTTTCAACATTGAAGTCAGCACTTAATTCTTGCCAAAAGTGCTGAATTTCTACAGGAAGTTGTGGACAAATCACCCATTGATAAATTGGACAGAAAAATAAGCAAATAAAGATAGCAAGAACTGCAGATGCTGGAATCAGAGTCAATACAGTATGGAGCTGGAGGATCACAGGTCAGACAGCATCAGAGGAGCAAGCGAGTCGACATTTTGGGCCTAGACCCTTCTTCAGGATCTATGCCCAATTCATCAACTCTCCTGCTCCTGATTCTGCCTGACCTGCTGTGTTCCTCCAGCTCCACGCTGTATTTAAACTAGCCAAATAGGTTGCTTTTGACTCAAATCTGTTGAATCAAATCAGTTCAAGACGGCATAAGAAATAGGACCAAAAGCCATTCAGTTCTTCGAGCCCACTACACAATTCAATGAGATCATGCCTGATCTTCTACTTCAATATCATTTTCCTACACTACCCACGTACCAATCGACGTGACAATTATGAATCAATCTATCGACCTCAGTCATGAATGTACTCAGTTCTCTGAAATACAGAACTCCAAAAGTTTCACCACCCTCTGAGTGAAGAAATTCCTCATCTCTGTTCTAAATGGCTCATAGACATTTACAGCAAAGGGCGCGTCATTCAGCCCACTGACCCTGTGCCAAAGATCTAAATACACTACGAACGTTTTCTAGCTTTTGGCACATAGATCTGGATGATATGACAATGCAAGCGAATATCTAAATACTGCTTAAATGTTAAGAGTGTTTTTGACTTGACCACTCTTCGAAGCAGCAAAAGCCAGACTCCCACCACCCGCAGGGTGTAAACATTTCTCTACTGTCCTCTTACAGTTCTACCTCTTACCTTAAATTCATTTCCCCTCATTAACTCCACTGCTTATGAAAATCCTCCACACTATTCACTACCTTACTAATTTTAGTGTCAGCGCAAAAATCACGAATGCAGAGGGTGTGATCAAGTCCAAATCATTCAGATATACCAATAACAGCAAGAACGAGCCCTGCGGATCCCCAATGGAAACAGACTTCCAGTCATTGAAGCATCCTTTAAGACCATTGAAACCTTTTATTTCCTGCCTCTCAGCCAATTTTGGATCCAACATGCTACTTTGCCTCAGATTCCATAGGCTTTTCTTTTTTCAAAAGTCTGCCATGACGGACTTTATCAAAAGTCTGGCATGCAGAGCACATCAAATGCATTTGATAAAATTCGATCAAACTTGTCAAACACAATCCTCCCTTAACAAATCTATGCTGACTATTCCTGATTGACTGACATCTCACAGTTCAGATATATTCCCAACTGGTGCTGGCATTTTATGAAAATAAATTTACTTGAAAATTAGATTCTACCAGATTAATTTGATGAAAAAATATCTAACTGCATCTTGAATATATTTTTTAAAAAAGTGCTTCAGGTTTAAGAACAGGTTTACCTGCTGGCATCTTTGGTTGAGAAACAATAATCACTTCAAAAAGGTAGAAAATAATGTAAAAACAAATAAATTCCAGAAACTTACCTTCTGTAACAATGATCAAAGCATTCATTGCAGAAATGTTCCCCACAAGATAAATGGTACCAGCGTGATGTATAACCATTTTTAGCACATCTAAAAATGATAAATCACAAAAAAGGAATTTAAAAGAAAACAAAATCATTCTAATTTTAAACAGAAACAAAAAATTCTGAATGTTTAAGTGTCAGTTATGTTTTAGATGGTGGCATTAATCACAGAGACTTTGTCTACTAACTCGGGCAGACATAAAAGTTCATTCCATCACTTTGCAGAAACCCAGGAGAAACTTTTGTGACCTAACCCATATTTATTCCTAAATCAACATGAAAATGGTTAGATGACTTTTGCAATACTGCATTCAGTTCTGGTCTCCTTGCTATAGGAAGGACGTTGTGAAACTTGAAAGGGACCAGAAAAGATTTACAAAGATGGTGCCAGGGTGGGAGGGTTGAGCTACAAGGAGAGACTGAATAGGCTGGGGCTATTTTCACTGCAGTATCGGAGGCTGACGGGTGACCTTACAGAAGTTTATAAAATCATGATGGACACAGATAGGGTGATTGGCCAAGGTCTGTTCCCCAGGGTGGGGGTGTCCAGAACTAGAGGGCATCAGTTTAAAGTGAGAGGGGAAACATTTAAAAGGGACCTAAGAGGCAACCTTTTCACACAGAGGATGATGTACGTATGGAATGAGTTGCCAGACAAAGAGGAGGAGGCCGGTACAATTACAACATTTAAAAGGATCTGGATGGGTACATGAATAGGAAGGGCTTAGAGGGCTAAATGCTGGCAAGTGGGACTACATCAGTTTAGGATATCTGGTTGGGATGGACGAGTTGGACCAAAGGTGTACAGCTATATGACTCTGTGACAAAAAGTTATTTTGACAATACTACACTGCTGCTTGTGAGAGCTTTCTGTGCATAAAATAGCTGCCCTGTTGCCTATATTACAGCAGTGACTACATTTTTCAAACATTCACTGATTGGCTGAAAATGGTTTTGAAACTCAACGACTATGAACAGTAGTATTTAAATATGAATTTTTAACCTCTCCCTGTAAATGTTTAGAAACTTTAGATGACTACAATGTAATCTCGTTGTACTAAACCAAAACGTGAGAACATAACCCCTGCATCCAAATTAGATCAGCCCCTAAAATTCTTCCAGAATACTAGTCATCTCAAACATCCTACTGCAAGTAGGTAGGCCACAGTAACAGGATGCAACCATATAGTATCTTCAATTTGGTAAAATATCCCGAGTTATTCTACAGGAAAAAGATTCAATGGAAACAGAGGGACAAATGTCTTACTAACTGAACGTCTGACCATAAACGTGACCAAAGATTTGAGAAATGTTTTCATGGGGAAAATGAGGGAATTCCAGACCTTAGGACAAAGAAAGTTGAAACATGGCTACCAATTGTGGTGAAAGAGAAGCCAGTCATACATGAGGACAAAATGAAAGAAGGACTGGGAAGATGTTTGAGATAGGGAGAGGAAAAATCATGCAATGATCTGAACACAAGGATAAAAATTTTAAACTCTTCGGGGAATTAGGATTTAATATGGGTCAGAAGGATGAGGACTTGATGCAAGTTCCAAAACCATCAATACGGGACGGGGGCGGGTGGGTGGGTGGTGGTGGTGGTAGTGGTAGTAGAAGAGAGAAACAGAATGATCATTGTCATGGTGAGCAATAGTCAAGTCTGGCAGGATAAACAGCTGATAAGTTAATTTGATCAATGTTAAAAAAGGCAAATTCAGGTTTTGAGTGACAGTGGACGTGGGAACAGTAGCTCAACTGAGGGTCAACTGAAGTAGGTTGTTTAGCTGAGCAGTCAGTCAAAAAAAAAAAAAATCAGAGCTCTCCCGTTATTTTCTCTTGGAAATTCTCTCATGCACATGTCATGAATCTATTGTCCACAATACTGGTGCACAATGTACTGATCCCATTCCTTATTAACAGCACAACCCCACCTATCATCATTTTTGCCCATCGTTCTTAAATGTTGAATATCCTTGAACGTTTAGGTACCAGTCTTGATCACCTGCAGCCACATTTCCATAATGGCAATAAAACCAAGTTAATTTTCTTCCACCTATATCAACTATTTACCAACCATGGTGCAAATGTTATGCATAAATCAGATGGAGTACCTTTAATGAGAGATAGTAAGAACTGCCGGTGCTGGAGTCAGAGATAACATAGTGTGGAGCTGGAGGAACACAGCAAGCCAGGCAGCATCAGAGGAGCAGGAAAACTGACGTTTCGGGTCGAGACCCTTCTTCAGAAAATGTTAATTTCTAGGCTGTTAATTGATGTCTGGATATATAAAAGGTGGAAATGAGAAGGGCTCTTGTGGTATAGTCATTGTGTCTCTACCTCTAGACCAGAAGGCCTGGGTTCAAGTCCCACCTGCTCGAGAGGTGTGAGGTAACATTGAACAGGTTGATCAAACAAATAAAAGGGCTCTTCTGGCTCAGTAGTAGTATTCAAGTTCCACCTGCTCCAAAGGTGCATAAAAATATCGGAGATATTTTAATCAACCTGTTCAATGTATTTAGCAATTGATTCATTACCACAACTCCCGGAGCACTAACGTAACGGGCCCTAGTGGTGTGTGGTTGTGTACCTACCCCTGAGCCAGTGGACCTGGTTCAAGTCCCACCTGCTCCATAACTGTGTAATAACACCTTTGAACAGGTCGATCAGAAAAAAGGTGGAATCATAGAATCCCTACAGTGTGGAAACAGGCCCTTCGGCCCAACAAGTCCACACCAACCCTCGGACCATCCCACCCAGACCCATTCCCCTATAACCCACCTAATCTACACATCCCTGAACACTATGGGCAATTTAGCATGGCCAATCCACCTAGCCTGCACATCTTTGGACTATGGGAGGAAACCGAAGCACCCGGAGGAAATCCACGCAAACATAGGGAGAACATGCAAACTCCAGACAGACAGTTGCCCAAGGGTGGAATCGAACCCAAGTTCCTGGCGCTGTGAGGTGCTAATAACCACTAAGCCACTGTGCCATGCTCTTGTTGTGCAGCTTTACATCAATGTCATTTCACAAGGAATCAAGACCTAAATAACCAAGATCTTTGTCAAATTTTCTACTAGTGTCACTCATCAGATATCCTATATAATCAATCTCTGGCTGCCCTTAGCAGGAATACTTACCAGCTGTACAAAGCACCCCTCCAAAATAAAATGGGAACGTCTTGTGGTGCAGTGGTAATGTTCCCACCTCTAAGCCAGGAGGCCTGACCTCAAGTCCCACCTGCTTCAGACGTGTGTCATAACTTCTCTGAACAGTTGATGAAAAATATCTGTGGCCTGCCTGGACTCAAATCTCCAAACAGATGGGGGCATAGGGATCAGTCCTGTCTGGTAGATCACGGCCTTGGCTCTACCTCTGAAGGAGGAGGTCCAACTTGGGATAAGTTGTACTAACATCTACAAAGGTGGAACTGAGGACGGATCTTGTGATGCAGTAATAATATCCCTAACTCCGAGCCGAGTGAGCTAGAATCAAGCCCCTGCTCCAGAGGTGTCATAACATCTCTGAACAGGTTGATCAGAAAATATCTAAAGGAGGAAAGTGGAGTGACAGCTGTTAGATTGGTATAATCAATAAACACTTTGCACGAAAACAAAAACGGGTGGCCCCTTACCCAGGTTGGAATCTATTTACTATGTTCAATTCTTTTTGAAATTATGTCTACAAACTGGAACCAATAGAAATTACTTTTAGGTAGGTCATTATCAAAAGCATATAGACCAGTATACATATGGAGAATATACCCAGCAATGACAAAGTCAAGTATTGAGGCACAGGGTCATCTGGTGAGATGGGAGCAATCTCAGCTCTGAATGCCCTGGCAGCCATTTCAGCTCCCATTTAGTCCAAGCTCACTTGTCAAATAAACAGCATTCCAGAGTAGTCTGGCTCATGCAGTGAATTACTAATTTGCCAAAAGATAACTCAACTCCAATTTTTCACCAATTATATCACTTTGAAGTTATCCTCTGGGACATGGTAATGCCTGCCATACCTCATTTAACCAACACAGCTGAAAGAAAAGTTGGAATTTCAAGACAATTCTTTGTAAACAGTGGGGCAGCACCCAATTTTGAATCCAATAGGGAATTCAGGACAAAGCCCAAATGGTGAGCATGTGGAACTTGCTGCCACAGGGAGTGGTTGAGTAAATATTATCAATGCATTTAAGGCGAAGTTAGGCAAGGAAACAAAGGAGAAGGGAACAAAGTTACGATGGTAGATTTAGATGAGGAATGAAAAAAGAGTCTGAAGTCGAGCATAAATGTGAACATAGACAAGTTGGATCAAATGATCTATTTCTGTGCTGTACAATCTGTGTAATCCTATTTAAATCTGTTACCCTGAACATCAGAAGGACACCACCATCCAAAGACGAAATTAGATTTTTTGAGACAGCCAGTTTAAAAAGAAGCTTCAGGGTTTGTCTGTGAATGACACATTGGTAGCACAATACTCATTTCACCCTGGCACACCGCTAAATATTCCTAAAATTATCTTGAAGCTAAGTAGTATTGAAAACGTACCAGAACTCTATCTAATCATTCTTCTATTGAACAATTATGAAGTGTCAGTTATAAACAGATTTATATCATAGGAAATTTATAAGCAAGTATAGCAATTAGATATCACCATTTAAATCTACATAGAAGTTCATGCATGACGAGTTAAGTCAGCTTCTAAAGCCCCCAGAACACCTTGGAAAATGCAATCACAGATGTAACTAACCAGAGAAAGGCTGTCATCAGGCTGTAGGTAAAATTGACAGAATTGATGAGGAGCTGATCCTCAAAGCTGATCCACAAGTTAGTGTTTGCTTGCATTTCCTGCTACTAAGAATTATGCTGAGTCTATCAGCAACCTGGGTTTGTGGCAGCACAAAAGTGAGGCTACAGCAGTGAGGAAGACTGCCTAGATCGAGTAACTCAGCTAAATAAAACCTGAAAACAGGTGAATTCCTTGCAAAACAGGGGAAATACAATGGATGCTATTATAATGAACACTGTCCACAGGAGAATTTAATCTAGATTTGCACTTAAATGTTATTTCATCTCAAAGAATCTCAAATATCTGGAGGTGCAGGGACTGTGTAAGGGACAAACATGCAAACGTTCAGTTGTGGCATCAACAATCCATGGAAAGGATGTTTAGAATGATGGTTTATTTTGCCCAGAAGTGTGTGTCAGCTATGTAAGAGACTTTTTCCTATTCAAATCTATCTTGTGCCAATTTAGATACTTTGAAATTCAGATAATGATGGCTTCTCTTGTCTTCAAGTTCAACAGAAGGGCGATGATTGAAGATTTTGGTGAGTTCTTCCAATTCTGCTTCAGAAAGTCCAAATATGTCAACAATTTGATTACATCACCTCAAAGAACAGTGCAAATGAAAACTGATAATGAAACCAAACACTAAAACAAAATACATTTTGATCCCTGTTGAATTCATGTCAAAACTTCAAGAACTCTGACCAATATCATAATTACATTAAGCACATACTTTAATAAAAACTCAGCATTTGTAAAGCCCAAATCTGCACCAATACCAGGAAAATTACCCAAAAGGAACTGAAGAGATTCCAATTGAACAGCTGCACAATAGTCCTTATGTACATTGTAAGTTGTTGCAATACAGAATTAATTTCACTTGCCTCTCTGCAGCACTTGCAAAACAAACAGGATATGTTGCACTGCAGCCAGCTTTTTCACACTTCCTATATTTCTTTTCAGAACCCTCTTCCTCTTCCTCAGTTTCAAAAGTTTTCTTCTTGACCTTCATTGTAAAAAAAAAATGCAAATTGAATTTGACAATAAAATTTGGATCTCACTCCACAAATACCTTCAAGTTCATATTATTTTTCAAATTTTGTCCAAGCTTTTCATCTCACACTTCTCAAAACAATTCTAAGGATATTGGGTAGATCATTTAGGACTGAGATGAGGAGAAATTTCTTCACACAGAGGTGAGCCTGCAGAATTCGCTACCAAAGTAAGCAGTTGAGACCAAAAAATTGTATTAATTTCAAGAAGTTAGACATTCCACTTGGGGCTAAAGGGATCAAAGGATATGGGGGGGAAAAAAGCAGGAACAGACTATTAAGGCGAATGATCAGCCATGATCATAATGAATGCTAGAGTAGACTCAAAGGACTGAAAAGCCTACTTTTGCTCCTTGTCTCTACGTAATTCACAAGAATAAAAATTCAAGGGGAAAACATTTATACTGGGGACACTGCTGATTGGTTGGTATGTGGACTCCAGTAGAGATGTTACCATGGAGGATGCACCCATTAATGATGATTGATAGTTTGTTGTCAGGCTTTGTTTAAACTTTAAACTAGACATATTGATTCAGATTTCTAATAAACCAGAGAATGGCTGTCTATTTTGCTGACATTTCTAGACTGGATAATCCCAAGAGAGAAGAATTATGCCAATAACCAATTTAGAATTGAATACTGGGTAGCAGCATAGTGTACTTACACATACTAGAAGTTACATATATTTGTATACAGGATACTGCTATTCGCAGACAGAAAGAAAATGTACTTACACTGTATCTGTTTCAACTCAACAAAATATCTGACAGCCATTTGCCATTTCACTGATCAAGGCAATGCCTCAAGTAATCCGAGTCAACGCATTTGGTTTAAAAATTAGTATTCTTGGGAATTATCCTGATATAATCAAGTTGAAAAGTGGCAAAGTGTGTGCTTTTAGAACATCTAAGTTCTGTACTACCAAATGACTATTTCAAATTTATATAAAATACAACTACAGACCATTATGATGTGTTGACAGGACACGTAATATTAAACTAGTTCTATCAAATACTAGATAAAAACCAAAAGAACTGCAGATGCTGTAAATCAGGAACAAAAAACAGAAATTGCTGGAAAAGCTCAGCAGGTCTGGCAGCATCTGTGGAGAAAAAAAAATATCAGACCTAACATTTCGGGTCTGGTGACCATATCTCAGAACCGGTGTTCTGAGGAAGGATCACCGGACCCAAAATGTTAAGTCTGATTTTTTTTTCTCTCCACAGATGCTGCCAGCCATGCTGCGTTTTTCCAGCAATTTCTGCTTTTGTTCCTATCAAATGCCACAATCTTCTACAGTCCATGGCTCATACTATATCTGACATGTCACTTACAACAACTCAGATTAAACTGAAAACCTGCAATAACATCCATCTTGCATCTTCCTAAGATTGCAAGTAGTACAGTGCAAATTGCATCTTTAGTTGAGAACAGTAAATTCCATGCAACAATAAGTTGAGTAAGGGCCTTGAAATCACACAATCATTAAGCTTAGTATGATCAGTAAGGAGCAATCACATCGGCTGAGATACTGCCCAAGCAAGTACAGAGTTTGGCAAATTTGGTGGCTTGTGGGGACAGATTGTTTAATCTTTCTTTTTCTTCTCCGTTTTAAAAAGGTTAAAATTTGGTAGATGTGTGAAAAGGTTAATAAGTTCACTGATGGGCAGTTGTCAATTACTTGAAGCCTGAACAGGTGCTAAGTACTATTGAAGATTAACTACTGCAGGTCATCTCAGCCCTATTTAAGAAAGGGCCTATCGAAAGCACATGATCAGTAAGCTTTGCACAATGAGGAAGGAGATCACATCTGCAGTGAGACACAGCCCAAACGAGCATATAGTTTGGGGAATTTGGAGGCAACACAGAAATTCGGTGCAGAGGGGAAGAAGTGCTTTGTGCTCGCTTCTTTTTTTAGGCTCATACTTTGTAAAGTTTTTTTGTTAAGCAGGATATATTGAAGCCCAGAACAAAGGGCACAGCACAAAAGAGTGACATCACAGGTCAACCACAAGTTCATTGCTGGATGATGGCTACAACTTTCATCCAATCCCTACAGTTTGGAATAAGGCCATTCAGCCCAACAAGTCCACACCGTCCTTCCCAACAGCATCCCACCCACATCCATTCCCTACCCCTGTATTTCCCATGTCTAACCCACTTAACCTAAACATCCCTGTCAATCCACCTATCCTGCACATCTTTGGACTGTGGGAGGAAACCAGAGCACCCAGAGGAAGCCCACGCAGACATGGGGAGAATATCTGTGTGGAGTTTGCACAGTCACTCGAGGTTGGAATCGAACCCAGGTCCCTGACGCTGTGAGGTAACAGTGCCACCCTAGTTGGCAGTTAGGAAGACAAATGTAATGTTAGCGATCATTTCACAAGGACTAGAATACAACAGCAAGATGCACTGCTTAGACTGAATAAGGCTCTGGTCAGACCACATTTGGAAGATTATGGGCAGTCCTGAACCCCATATCCAAGGATGGATATGTTGACCTTAAGGGGGCTCCAGAAGAGGCTTACAAGAATAATCCTGGGGTAAAGGGCTTGTCAGATGTGCAGCAGTTGAGGACTCTGGGACTCTATCTGAAGTGTAGAAGGATGGGTGTAGTTTGAAAACCTGAGAGGCCTAGACAGAGTGGACATGGAGAAGATGTTTCCACAATTGGAGAGAGACAGTCTTGGAGTGAAGAATGACCCTTTAGAACGGAGATGGGAGGAATTTCCTCAACCAGAGGGTGATTAATCCGTGGAACTCATTGCCACAGAGGCCTGTGGAGGCCAAGTCCATGAGTGTATTTAAGACCGAGGTAGATGGCTTCTTGACTGGCAAAAAGATCGGTGTCATGGAGAGAAGGCCGAAGAATCAGTTTGAGAAACATATCAACCATGATCGAATGGCAGAGCCGGCGCGATAGGCCAAAAAGCCTAATTCTGTTCATTTCTTATGAAAATGTGATTAAAGAATATTTGCAGCCTTGCAGGAATGTGATCATCTTTTGCTACACATATGAAATGCATCAAATTACAGAACGCATTTGAGCGTACATTCTCTATCTTCACCTCTCCATGTGTTACATCACACAAGAACATTTATAATTTAAAAATACCCATACTTTGAAAGGAACATTGAATATCAAATTAAATACAAAAACTGTTCAAAAAATATTAAATTTAAATCCAAAACATACAATACTACCTGTACATAATTTAACTTCCATTGGTTTCTATGTACCAACAATTGAAAGATGCATTGACTTCAAAGGCATTTGACATGAATCTAATGTTAAATTTGTTCCACAGATGAAACCCACTTTAATGAAAAAGTAAGCTGAAAACCACAGTGAGTATTAGTTTTAGTGGCACTGAACAAAACCTGTCTTCCTGATGATCTTAGTGGAGGGTTGGTATCCATTGATCCTTCAAAAATAGGCGGCCTTTTCTTTGCTCGCATGCGTCCACTTATGGCATCTACAAATAATCAACAGGCAGGTGTTTACAGAAGTTGAAACTTGAAAAATAAATGCATGACCTTTCATTTTTAAATCACCTGCAAAAAAAAAAAAAAAAATCAGACTCAAGCTTTCACTCACCATTTGCTCAGTTACAATTTTGTGAAATGGGTACATCCATTTTGAACCTAGTTATGAAGATTAAATTTGCCTCAATAGCTGAAGCCGTATCTTTCGATTTTGCAATATCATTGGGTAGAAAAAATATGGGAGAAAGAAAAGATTTATGCAACATAATTGGGGAACCATAAAAGCTGCGGTAAAATTCAAAGAAAATTAGATTCACCCAATAAAAAAAACCAAATTAATTGGACATGCAGAAGTACTAACCTATGCTGATTCATGACCTGACCAGATACTTGGAGTAGTGAATTTATTTTTATTTTTCTGCTTCATAAAAGATTCTGATATTTTAAAATAAAAAAAAAATGACAGCCAGAATTTGTAGTTATATTGTGCATAATATTATCAAGTAATTCATGTCAGTGCAACGAATACATTTGATGTTTTGAAGAAAGAGCTGGTGGGACATGTGACCAAATGAATGGTCAAAGGTCTTGAAGAGAATGTTACAGGTGAAGACGAAAACCTTTTACTTCAGAATTAAATGGAGGAAGGCATAGTCACCAGTGGTGAGGAAAGGGACAGGTGCCTAAGAGGCCAGAGTGGAAGAACAAACGTCAATGAGAATTTAAAGCTTGAAATATCCACAGACCAAGTTCCAACATAGGCTAAAGAGAACAGTGATGATGGGCAAACAGTACTTGGTTAGGATGTGGGCAACAGAATCTTGGTGGAAGGTGGAATATTTCAGACCAGTTAGGAAAGCACTGTAATAATCGTATTTGGAAGTGACAATGAAACATGAGACACTGCCAGCCTGGCACAACAGCTTAGATTTTTGCCTCAATGCTGTGGGAGAGAGATTTAAAGTCACAATCTTGTGAGTCACTGAAAGAATTATACAAATTAAGTCATGGATAACACAAAGCTATTTCAGATGTTAAAATGAACAATTTAAAGTCTAAGGCATGATTCATTTAACTGTGTCACCTGCCATCTATTGGTTTATCAGTTACCTCAGCTTCATGCTCTAGAATACATTTCATGTTCCCTCTCTCATGAGACATCATTAAAAACCTACCACAATTCAAATTCCTGTCTATTTACTTTTGGTAGAACTCAATAACACTGGACATGAACCATTAAAACCTTACGAATGGCAATAACCAAACTAAGTCTGGAATGGTGCATTTTATACATAATGGTGTTAGCCCCACCCTTACATTACTTGCCATTTGTCAGATGTGGGCACATCTTTCCCATCTCGGTCTGAATGCAACAGCTTCTTTTCACATCCAAGACCCTGACTCTCAAACATCTTAGCCAACTGTTCTCCCATTCCTCACCCTCCACACTATCATTCAACTGTCGTGACACCAAACCACAAGACTACGTCAGTTTTAAGACCACTTAAATCCAGAATGTGGTTGAACTCAGTCCCTGCTTCAGCTATTCTGCTGCTGAAACCTTCATCCCTGCCTTTTGTTAACTCTATGCTTGACTTGTCCAATGTACCCTTGGCCAACCTCCTACATTTTACCTTTGGTAAACTGGAAATTATAGAAAATTCTGCTGCTCATGTCCTATACATATCACATTTTAGGATAGATAACCAAAGGCTTGATGAAATGGATAGACTTTAAAAAGGAGAAGAGAGAAATATGCAGAAAGGACATAGGTGGAAATTCCAGGCTTTAGTTCCAACAAAGATTGAGATTTCAGAGATGGGGAGCAGTGGGAAAGAGATTTGCAAACAAGGTGAGAATTTCAAAATAAAATTGTCCAACAGGGAGCTAACGCTGGTCATTGCTCACACAGGTGAATGTAACTCAATACAAGTCAACACATGGATGGTACATGACATCAAACTTACCAAAGACAGAAGGTAAGAGATTGCCTGGGCAAATACTGGAATATACAAGCAAAGAGATACCAAAATTCAGCCACTGAACTTAGCCTATTCACAAAATTAATTAACTCAATATGACTGCAACAGCTCATCTATTATTCTCTATGCACAGAGCTATAATTATTTCAGTGGCTTGGAGATAAATAGGATATTTAATCTAGGTTCAGAGAAATAATCGAGAATCTGGTTCTTAAAACTAGCTAGACAAAATAAGTGATCAAATGAGATGCACGTTTGTTTGCATTTGTAATAATTTGATAGTACAGCTCATTTTCTTAGGCAATGTCATAAATAAGAGTCTTCATTGTTATTTTGGACTGGCACCAAATCTTACCAGAAAATTGATTTTGAACAAGAATAGCAATTATTTGTCACCTTTTTGATCATCACTGTCAATAAAGTAGTTCACTTTGCAGAAAAAAAGAATGTCAGCCACTTATGGTTCTCATCTACAAGAGAGTAATATTTTTTAAAACTGTAAGTTGCAGAATTATACTAATGCAGAACAAGAATACAAAGCACAGATTTTACAATCAGGGAACCTATCAGTAAATTGCCAACAGTTTACTGTTATTAACCTGCTGAAATTGATGAGAATTTCAGGATGAAATGCATGCACAGATCGGGATTTAAAGCTTGAAGTTGCAGACTGCATCTCAGTCCTCCACCACAGGCAGCGCTGTGGATTTTCACCTTCCAAACCAACAACCATTTAAATCATCACTTTTCTCTCATAACCACTACCATTACTGACCACCAATGTCACCGTTAGAAATCCCATTAAAGTCTAGACCTTGGTCAATAAGGTCCAACTCTGCTTTTAATGGTGATAAGAGTAATGGTTGCTGAACAACAGAACAGATTCTCGATGAGAGCTGTAAAATGTCTCCATCTGGTGTGTCAATTAAAACAATATTTAAAAGGAAAGATTTTTCCAAAAAATTTCAACTTTCACCTTCAAAAGATCTGTATGTCTCACATTTGATTTTACGTGAAGCAACTGAAAAATTAATTGTGTGTGTGTTTTGGCAGCAAGGCAAGTCTGCGCAAATCCTTTTGCAACTGAATGCTTGGGTAGCTTGATGTCATTACTGTAGCTCCATGTCAGGAATTCCCAAAATAAGTTACAATACCACTGAAGGGGTGATAATTATATTTCTCAGCACGGAGATTGAGATTTCAAGCAGCATTTTGAAGTGTGCAGCAAGAGCCCTTGGTTCACTGCTGATGCAGTCTTCAGGCCTACAGAAGAACATTGGAGGCTGAAAATTAATTGCTAAAAGAATCTGTCAATTATATTTATATTGGATTAAACTGCTTCAATTTTATATCATTTTAGTAATAGCAAAATTCAAAATTTTTAAGATTGCTAATGCTACATTTCACCTACTTGATCTAATATTGGTTGTTATATTCTATTTTTTAATTTAAACTGATAGGCCAACTGAAATGTTAATTTTATTTTGACAAACCAAGAATTTAAATTAGTGAAACCAATTCACTGGCACTTTAAGAATTTTTATCAAAACCACAACCTCACTGCCTCAGCTTGTCTCACTGAAACATTTAACTTTGCTCCATCTTTAGCACAGAAGTCATCATTGCTCCAAAACAAACTTATTTTCATGTCAGGTTTAGTGAATGCAATTTCAACATCTTGACATTGCAAAGTCACTAGCGCTATTATTCAAGTCCAGTGGCAATGAAGTGAAAGTGGAGTTGAAGGTAGGTTATATTTATACTAACATAGATGGAAAAACCATAAATATCGTGGCTCATATTTTGTGTTCAGTGGCAAAAGAATTGAACTCTCCACTAATTATGCTTAAAGCTGCTCACAATATCACATGAGATTTTGTACAGCAACTTATTTTTAGAAATGGTTTAGTGCATAGCATAATACAGGGAATCAGTGACGTCTAAATGCAGGGAAAGTACTACCATGCCTCTTCAAACAAACAAAAAAAAAATAAGAGTCATTGTGGCATATGGAGTCCAAACTATGAAGCACAATTGCAGTATGTAAATGCATCTACAGGATAAATGAAGAGAAAGAAAGATGTCAAAGTGAGGGGAGACAAAAAGGGGCAAAAAGCCAAATAAGCAAACAAAGCTTAAATTTTTAATAAAAATTTAAGAATAATTAAATTGCAAAGGAATGAGATTCCACATTTGTAAGAGTAACTTTTCAGTGACAGAGGGCTTTTTCAAAAAAAAAGTGTTTATTACATATTTGTAGAGGTAGAACTCAAATATAGAAACTTAACATAATGACCTCCTGAAGATGAAACATCTTCTAATTTTTGTTTAAAAATTCACATATACCTAAAAGCATCAACCTCAACCTCTCTTGGCTGTTTAGTATGCAACTAATAAGCAAGTATTACAATTGAAATAATTCATGTATTTTAATAATGAAATTCTAAACAAGGTTTAGTGTAATGAAGCTCTGGATTAACAGACTTAATGAAAAAACATCTTTGAGATCAGTTTTTCAGAATATTTGCCGACACCTGAAACTCCTGTCGAATTTACTTTACAGCAATGCTCATATCAATGATATTCTTATCACAAAACATGGTTTCCTCCATTTTAAGCAAGAACTATAGCATTGGAGAGCAAAAGTCTTGAGGTGGCTTACGGTGATATAATTAATGAAGCAAATAATTTTCCTGTTGTTTCCTCCTCCTTATGCTCTGTTCACCTATACCATAGGAGGTCATCACATTAGTTCAAATACCAGGAAAGATTTGAAGTGGGATTCACAATCTGCCCATAAAAAGGTGCCTACATCATTATTTGCTGTTCATTCAAGTATTAAAAGGATAAACATTGAGATTATTTGATGCTTTCAACAGCAAAAATTTTCCGATGGCCCTTGGGTTGCATTATGAAAATAATTGAGAAGCTTTAGATATTCAATATTTGGGTTTCTTAGCAATTTGGGAAAATAAAGTGAAATCAAAGTAAAACAAATGGTCACAACTCACTCCTGCTATTGAACTATTTGGAAGACTCAGAAATATATCATCACCATTCCTTCAGTGTAGTTGGGTCAAAATTCTGGTATTCCCTATCCCTAACAGCATTGTGGATCGACCTTCCACACAAGGATTGCAGTGGCTCAAGATGGCAGCTCACCACCACCTTGTCAAAGGCAATTAGGGATGGGCAACAAATGCTGGCACAGCCAACAATACCCACATCCCACAAGCAAATATTAAACAAATTATGCAATTCTTTTGCAACTTATAGGAAGATTGATTACTGCAACTAATCACAGATTAGACAAAACAATTTAACATTTACCAAAGACTTTTAAAACAACAGTTCTTTAGCTGGGGGGAGCAAACAAGTTATTAACTTTGTAAAATTAATGAAGATACCTTTAGATTTCTGCTTAACCATCCATAAAGAAAGCCTTCACAAATCATTACTAGCAATAAATAAGACTAGTGTTTTCGTGCTTACTCATAAACAGGAACATAGTAAGAACGTGAAAAAAAACTGTATTACACAAAATGAACGTATTCGCAAAGAAGTGTAAAAATCTCAATCCAGTACTAAAAGCCAGCAATCCCAAGTACAAGGAAAACAATGTCAAAAGCTAAAGTCAACCGCGTGAACATTTCTCGAACACGTTAACATTCTTGTTGTTAACATTGACCTTGTTTCATTTGACACATAACGTATCCATTTCTTGATAACAATGTAACTTCAGCCATGCTGTGTATCACAACTAGTGCATACACAAGGTAACCTGCTCAGAAATCAGTTGGTGTTGATTGTTGCACAAAGCCTAAGCTCAAGGCCAAGGACTCAGGATCCTTGAGGTTCCCTAAGCCCTCTCTCTTACTCACACAAATATATACATACAGCTCAAAGGGAAGACGAATGAGACACAGCTGGACTAGGCCAGTTCAGCAATGGAGCCGGTGGAAAGACGCAGACCCCCGGGGGCCGGGTCTGAGTGAAGCAAGATATTTAGTGACAGCACCAAACTCTTCAATGGGATAATCAAACTTAAGGAGGTGAAACAAAAGACGACGACGACGACTGCCTCGTTAACGAACAAGCGGCGCCACGGACCGAGTAGTATTCACCTGTGTCCGAGTAATACATAGTGGCAGAGCTCTCAACTCCACGAGATCCCTCTTATTCCCCCCCACCCCGGTTCCTGTACACTCCGGCTTTCTCTCTCTGCTTCGAGACCAAGCTCGCTCTCGCGCACATGCACCCACACTCCAGAGCTCTCATGCGCGTGCACCTACAGGTGCCGGAGCTCGCACCGATGCGCATGCGCTCTCTCGAACTATAGCCCTGATATTTTCCAGTCCGGCTCAGCCTCGAATGGGTGCGCATGTGCTCTCTCCTCACCAGCTTTGGCGTTGCTCTTGCACGAACGCTGTCGCTAATTCCTAACTGACGCGATTTGAATGAGGTGACTGGCTGAGCACAAGCGTTGTCGCAAGCTGCCAGCGACGGAAGTTTTTTAAACCTGTTTTCCCTGCGTCAAATTTCTCTTGTAGAGTTTCGGTTCTTTATATTTCCAATAAAATCCAGTTCTGAAAAATAGAATGCGTGTGACCTGTGACCTTTGGCATCCTGGCTCTATCCGTCATCGCTGCTCGTTGTGTTGAAACAGCGAAGTGACAGCGGTCGGGAGCATCGATTCAGTCAAAGTCCAAATAAGCGCATCAAGAAGTAAGTTAGACCTCATTTTTTATTTAGATTAATTGAGTATACTGGAGAACAACTTACGACTACAATTGTGTTTTTGTTGCTGTCGAGACTCTAGCTGAGATTCAGCACTTGTAGCAAAAGAGCCCAGCTTTCATTAAGATAAAAATAGGATATGCTGGAAATAGCTGGTTAGGCAGCATCTGCAGAGAGACGAAAAAAAATCACGATCTGAAATGTTAACTCTTTCTTTCTGCATCGATGCTGCCTGACCGGATAAGTATTTCCAGCGCTTCTTGGGTTTTGTCCAGACGTGCAGTATCCGCAGTTTTTCCACGTGTTTTGATTAAGTTGACTGTCAAATATATTAGAATAAACAATTGAAAGCTATTGTTGACCCAGTTAAAGTAAATATCTGCCACTACGTTTTATCTCTTAATAATTTACATTCTTATTTTTTTCTAGGAAAAAAAACAAGGCAAGGAAAATATGTACTTAGTATTCCTGGAATTAATTTCCAAAATTAATTTTTGACATGTTTGAAATTTAAATTTTGAGCATCCATTTCATTGTTACCACAATAATATTTATGTGGTTAATATTTTGCTACTGGAAATGAATATTTGTTTATAAGCTAGTTGTTTTAATTTCTTGACATTTGCTGCCTAAGCTCAGGTTTGAAAAAAATATCATTTGCAAGGAATATCAGAGGGCTAACAATTTCATGTTTTTAAAAAAAAATGTTCCCAGAGGAAGGGGTGGTATGTGTATGGAATGAGCTGCCAGAGGAAGTAGTAGAGACTTCAACAATTACAACATTTAAAAGGCATCTGGATGGGCATATGAATAGGAAGGGTTTAGAGGGAAATGGGCCAAATGTTGGCAAATGGGACTAGATTTATTTAGGATATCTGGTCAGCATGGACGAGTTAGACCAAAGAGTCTGTTTCTGTGCAGTATGTCTGCCTGAGTATGACTCTAAGACCTCACAGAACCTAGCTCCAGTTTTTAACATCAATTCCAATGGAAGTTGTTTCATTTAAAGTTATGATTTTCAGGAGTGCAAACATAACTTTAAGTAATGGTGTCCTGTACGCATTTGATCAATTCATTCAAATCATCATTAATATTGTAAATTGTTGATGTCCCCGTACTATTCCATTCATTTCATCTGAACAACACGAAAATAGCCCATTTATGCCTACATTTGTTTCTTGTTAGCTAACCAATTCTCTATCTATACCAATGTCATGCCTGATACAAAAAAAATTATTTTGAATCATAACTCTAATAACTCTAATAAATTAGTAAAACATGATTTCCCTGTCACAAAATTAAATTGACTCCACTTGATTGCAATGAGACATTCCAAATTCCCTGCTATAACCTCTTTAATAACAGGTTGCAGCATTATCCCAATGACAGACATTAACTTTACTGGTCTGTAGTTTCCACGTTTTTGTCACCTTTCTTGATGAGAGGAGTCATATTTTCTCATTTCCAATCTAACAGCATCTTTCCAGAATCTAGGGACTTTTGCAAAATTAAAGCCTGAGTTGTAAATAAGTTAATTATGAAGGCAAAACTTTTGAGTGAGTATGACATGAAAAAATGTGAACATATCCACTTTGGCAGGAAGAATAGAAATGCAGTATATTATTCAAATAGAGAAAGGCTGCAGAACTTTGATGTACAGAGGGTTCTGGATGTCCCGACACATGAATCACAAAAGTTACTATGTGGGTTCAGCGATTAGGAATGTTTTGTTACAGTTGTATAGAATATTGGTAAGATCACATCTAGACTACTGTACATGGCTTTCGTTTCCTTAATTAACAAAGAATATAAATGTGCCAAAGCAGTTCAGAGAAGTTTCCTTGGACTCAATGGGATAGGAATGTTACCTTAAGAGTAAAGGATTGATATGCTTGGCCAGTCCACTGGAGTTAAGAAAAATTAGATTAGGTCTTATTGAACCTTAGCAGCCTGAGATGAGTTTACAACATGAATACTGAAGGATGTTTGCTCTTGTGGCGGGGTCTAGAACTGAGGCCATAGTTTAAAATTAAGGGGTTCCTAGCTAGTTTGTTGTTCCCCAGATGTTTCGTTACCATGATGGGTAACATCATCAGTGCAGCCTCCGATGAAGCATTGGTGTGTTTTCCCACCTGGTTTTTAAACACTGGAGTCTGTTGAGGTGGATTGCCTCACTTCCGGTTTTCCTTCGTAGTGGAGTGTATATGGGGTCGAGTTCTATGTGTTTATTAATGGCTTTCTTCGTGGAGTGCCAGGCTTCTAGGAATTCCCATGCCTGTCTCTGCTTAGCTTGTCACGATGTGTTCCTGATTTCTGGAACTAACCACAAGACTCCTACGACCGCTGGGCATCAGAGTGGCACACAAGCCCACATCAACCCTACAAGAACTGCTCACCCGAACTAAAGACCCACTCCCCGCCATGGACAGGACCAGTGTCATCTATAAGATCCCCTGCAGAGACTGTGAGAAACACTACATTGGACAAACAGGAAGGAAACTAACAACAAGGGTACACGAACACCAACTGGCTACAAAGAGACACGACCAATACTCACTCATTTCAATCCACGTGGATAAGGAGAACCATTAATTCGACTGGGACAAGCTAAGCAGAGACAGGCACGGGAATTCCTAGAAGCCTGGCAATCCATGAAGAAAGCCATTAATAAACACATAGAACTCGACCCCATATACACTCCACTACGAAGGTAAACCGGAAGTGAGGCAATCCAGCTCAACGGACTCCAGTGTTTAAAAACCAGCCGGGAAAACATACCGACGCTTCATCGGAGGCTGCACTGATGATGTTACCCAGCGTGGTAATGAAATGTCTGTGGAACAACAAACCAGCTCGGCGAGCCAACCAAACTCAACACCCACAACCCGAGCTACAAATCTACTCCAAAACCTTAAAGGGGTTCCCATTTTAGCTGGAGTTTGTGGAGAATTCTTTTCTCTCATTGTGTTGTGAGTCTTTCAAACAATAAATGTTTTTCAATCTAAAATTTGGAATTCATTTGGCTTGTTCTCAAGTAAAATATCTGAGTTTTGATTTTGGGTATCCTTTTCTATGTTCTTTGTACACACTGTCACAGTATGCGTTTTCCCAAAACAGTGATGAGTGCCGGAGTAGAAATACCAGAAGGAAAGAGGTTGAACCAATATGGCGACCTAGAAAACTTTGACTTGACTGCAGAAGACTGGATGATACGATGGGAAAAGAGGCACATTGGTTTTCATAAGGATGAAATTCATGAGTGAGTGCAGCTCTTAGTTTACAGGCAGTTTTTAATTCTTAATTTTTAGAAATATATTTCCTTGACACTGTCTGAATTCCTTGTTCTTGTTTTCCTCATAGCTTGCATCAATGAACAGATTAAATTGGGGGTTTCTTGCCGATTTAATTGATTAATCTTGCAAGGACCAATTTGATTGTTTGGATTAAAAGTTATGCATCGTGGTATGGGGAGTGTCTGTTAATAACAGAAAATGAACTAATACTTTCACAGAGCAACGTACTGGTAAATTTTCCAATAAGTAAAAACTGTTGCTGCCTAAGTGGACGGCACAGGACATTGCTGATTAGAATGAGTTTGCAAATTAAGCATTTTGTGAACAAATTATGCCAAACTTGGAAGTGTGGAGAACTGAGCACCTTATTTCCCAAAGTGTCCATTTGTACCTTATCACACTTTAGAATATTTAACTATTCATTCCTACTGTCTGTGCTTTGAGCTCAGTTGAGCAATATACATGTCTTCAGCTTTTCCACCAAATCAGTGCCTTGAAATGAAAAAGAGATTTGCAAAGTGATCCTTGTCAGGCCAGAAAGCCTAGTTGATTTAGTTAAATGTTAAGTTACTTTTATTTCTATACAGGAGATGATTCATGAATAATGATTGACTCCTAATTTACAAACCTAACTCTATCGTCCAGTAAACTAAGTCTAACCCTATACTATTTGTCTTCTACAGCAAAATAATTTCAATGTCAGCACTTTAAAGTATTTAATATTTATCTACACACATGAAGGACATATATTTATAATGGAAAACATCAGTGAAATATCAAATTTATAAGGTAAATACTGAAAATAGATCACTTAAAGTCATTGTTTTCAGGTCCAATGGATCTCATCAGAAATCACAGTAGTTTGCATTTTCTTGGTTAATAAAGCAAACTTAGCTGGTTACAGAAAAAAGCCATGAGAAAGTTTGAAATTCACTGTAAAATGTATATTGTTCACTCATAAATTATGTACAAAATAAACCTGCTTGTTAGTTACCTTAGGTCTGTCTCACCAAAATGTTTGTGAGTTGGACTTCACGAGCATACAAAACGTACACTGGGCACACACATGATAATAAACAGTTCACATAACGAGAAGTATGATTGTTACAACTCCCAGGTCAGATGAGTAAGATGAGAATTTATCAGCAATTAAAAAGCTCTTATTCTGAGAGAAGTGGGGCCCAGGTCAGCTGTGGCTCTGTGGGAGATGCTCTGTCCCCTGAATCACAACGCCCTTGGTTTAAATTCTCACTCAAAAATGTGGGCATATGAAAAAGAAGCCTGATACTCCAGTTCAGTATTGGT